GAAGACAGTCAGGTTATTAAGTTTATATTGACTGGTATCTATTTTTTTCTGTTGGAAGACCATCAAAATGGAGGATGGATCAACATAGATACTTTGTAATACTGTCAGAAAATATCTCTGGGTCCGCTCCTGTTATTGACCATGTTACCTGTTGTGCAAGATTAAAATTCAGTGTTGACTGACAGTGCTATTATAAGCATTATTTATTATTGCATCAAAATTGACAAAATGACCTTTTTTGCATCTTTATTTTCTGTTTTTTGTCTGTACATTTGACAGCTTTGCTGCCTTGTTTGTTTTTTTTTTTAAATCAAAATGAATAGTTTTTAGCAACTGGCAAAACCATAGTTCATGAAGTTCACAGAAGTTTATATGTCTTCAGTTTTCAGTTGTCAGTGACAAATGTTGATGTCATTAAATATGTGAAGGCCATATATGTCTGGAATATACCCCAGCCTTGTCCATCATATTATAAACAGAAATATTTGATTCGCACAGAGTTAATATTTTTCAGTTATATGAAGATATATATTATTAAAATGTTCTGTAAATGTTGGTTGGTTTGTTTATCATAAAGAGTGAGTTTTCCTCAATATTAAGATGCAGGATGTAAAACTGATGAGCGAACCTCCCCTGTCATGAGCAAATGACAAATTGTACTGATATAATACATTATGAAACACTGGCACAGGGAGCTGATACACAAGATGATTAAAAATTTAACTAGAAATGTTTTTCTTCCCTAGGAAACAAATGCCAAGCTGTCTAAGCTGAAACTTCAAACCAAAGCCAAGGCCAAGGCAGCACAGAAAGATGCTGAAGCAAAGAAAGGGAGTGAAAAGGTGGGTTAAAAAGTAAACTTTTTTATCTCATATGTCACATGTCACTGTAGTTAGTGCCCGTTTACTCCATATCTACTTAAGACCAAAAATCTTGAAAAATTACATAATTTGATGACCAGTTCCTCTAAGAATCATGCTGTTTTTTGATGACAACTGTTTGACTTGTTTTTGCTCTTAATTTATCTTTATTTGAACTTTTTTTTTTGCAAAAAAAAATAAATAAAAATAAAAAAAGATATAAATGCAGCACTAATGGGTCTCTGTTTTTTTAATAGGGAAATTATCTGTCTTCAAAATACACAGTTTTGGAACCATTTAAAATATATTTCTGTATAGCATTTGTGGTGCTATAACTGTATAGAATACAATTGTAATTATAAGGTAATTTCATTTTTGCAAAAGGAATGTGCTAATATTTAGAATTTATAACTTTAAAAAGATAAGGTGTACATAAATTCACATTTTTTCTATTGAAAAAATCATGAGTCATTACCATACCAATGTAAGGAGGCACGAAATATAGTCACTCAGTCAATTTTCTCCTTATAATTTGCTGTCATTGTTGTGCTTGTATTCTTTAAATGGTATTATTTTCACCTGTATTGTATACTTAAACACCAGATGCTGTCTTCAAATATCATGAATTAATCAAACAATTGCTGCAGTTTTGGCTTTGACATAGTATTTTTACTACTGAAATATTCATGGTGACGGACAGTTGTGACTAGCAAATAGCTGAATGAAACAAAATCTACATATGATTCATTTCTGGCAGTTTGTTGAAGTTTACTGCACCAAAAACTTGGCCTTGTCATTAAACCAAGTTCTGCGGTTTTTCTCAAAACTGTCATAATAGGTAGGGCACATGCAAGGATATTGATTAAACAACATTGAATTATTCAGACTTGCCAGTCGTTTAATACCATAAATGTTGAAGTTGTTTCTGACGTACAGGCAGATGAAGAAAGCAGCGGAGGAGATCAAGCTGCCAGAGCTAAGGTTCTGGTGCTGAAGAAAAAACTTGACGCTAAAGACAAAACTATCACAGAAAAGGAGGCACTGCTGGAGGAGAAGTTACGTGAGGTAGCCAACATGGAGAAGATGATCGCTCAGAGAGATGAGGTGGTGCAGACGCTGTCCTCTCAACTGGAGAGACTTCACGGTCTCGGAGCAGACGGGCAGGAACAGGACAGTGAGGTAAAGATTGTTTTCTTTCTTGAAGACTTTCTTCATCTTTCTTTAGGTTTTTAAAGACACTTTATTGATGCAATTTTGCATCAGAATAAAGCAAGTTTTGTGGCTGGTAAGCAATATGCTTGCCTGTGTTTGAAATATTTTAAAGTTCATTGAAATTTCATCTTGTGTAGATTGAGAGTAGATTTGTAAATTTGTATCATATGGCTTAACTTAATTTTAAGCCATCCAGAATTTTTGAAACTTGATGAATATGTATATATGGATAAGTTGCAGCAAATTGATAATGCACCAATAGAATTTATAAGTCTTCAGGCAGATATATTAATTTTTTGTGCTTGTTAATATTTCATTCAGTCTTTGACTCATTGACTTCTCATATAAGTTATTTTGTATGCATCTTGAAACATTATTTTAGTCTGTATGATACCTGTAATAATATAAATACATGTAATTATATTTATATATTATTTTTTTATTATCCATCTTGCCAGCTNTCAGGGGGTGCAGATGGGAGGGATGGGGTGGGGGCAGAGTACACAGGTGGGTGATGAGGAAAGGGGACTTTTTAGGAGTCTGTCCCTTTCATTTTGTAGACCTCTGGCCACTTGGACTTGTTGGACAAAGAGATTTGATGGTCTTTGAGTGAAATCAGTAAATTGTGGAAAATGATCTAAAACAAATAAGTGATATTTTCATAAGGCTTGCCAATCTGGTTATTTGAAAAATCCAGTTTTTTTTTGGTGGTTTATTTTATTTCAAACAAATTGAATATATTTATAACATGGGACCATGATCATAAAGTAACAACAATTGCAACCAGAATCTGGTTCTTGAAGTTCTTTTGCACCAACAGTCCTCCACTGTTTCTTCAAGTAAGTGTTGTAGACAATTTTCTTACTTTGTACTCTTGGGAAAAATAGGAAGTTGCCCTCAGACATTAATTGATCATTTATTCACAAGAATTGGCTCCATTGAGATGTTATGTAACCAAATGTGACTTTTTATCTTATCCAGACATCGGGGTGTTCTGAGGTAGGTTGATGATGGTATTTGATGTCAGATCTTAGTCTTTGTGTACAGTCACCGTCATCTTTAGTCACCATCTTGTCGCCAAGGCTGGAGAGGGACCTGTTTACATGTCTTATTAATGATATGAATTATTGGCCATTTTGCTTTAGATGTGACAGAATTACCTTTGTGCTTGGATTGTAGTTCTTGTGCAAATTGAGATTTGGTTGATTTTTTTTGAAGTCCTGTTTTTGATTTTTAGCTTGTATTTCAAACCTGTTTCAGCAAAAGGTAGAAAACCTTCCTCCTCCTTGTTATTATTATTATTATTATCCCCAGTGTTACTGGAATCATTTAAAGTTAAAAAAGCAAGGTTGAAAACCAGTATTTAAAAAAAATCTTTTTCTTGTTTTTCTAAAAACTTTTTTCTAAATTTATTAGCTAAAGTCATACAAGGAAAAAAGAGGGAAAGGGGCCATTCTGTATTCCTTCAAACTGATTGGTTTCCTGGGAAGTGCTAGAATGACGTGGAAAATAAACCCAATCAGATTTCTACCTTTTTATGTGATTCTCAAGTAATTTTTTGCATTTCAGGCTTGTTTTATGTCTGTTTTGCATGATTTTTTCACAGATATGAGACTGAAATGTGTTATTTAGTATTGCAAAGGTACTGAGTTGCAGGTTGTCAGCTTACACTGATTATTTTGTATATTTTCTTTATTTTGCTTTTCATGTTTAATATACATATTGTTTTATTATTTTTATGTGAAATAATATCAACTCCTTTCTGAACAGTATATAATGTTATATGATGTAGATAGTATTCAGTTTGGGGAATGCTATAAATCATTCAAAATAAACTTCATTGCTTGCTTTTTTCTATTAATTTATTCAAATAAGAGGTTGAACTGTTGGTATGTGAGGAATTCACAGTTGGTAGTGAAGTTAAATTAAAGATCACACACAGATGCCTGGGTTTAACTTAAAAGAGGATAATATTCAGCAGAATAGTTTTGTACAAAAGTCATTGGCAATTATTATGATGTAATAAATTGTAATATATAACCTTTCCACCATAAATCAAGTCACTTTTTGTTAAGACGTTTGCTAAAAATCTCAAAAAAAAATTTTCAATGACATATTTTTAAAACTAAGATAGCAAATATAGACTGTTGGGGATAATTTTTAAACTGGCTTTATCTGTTACTGCTGTATTTCAAACCGGAAGGGGATTTTTTTCCTGCTAATGTTCAACTGTTATTTCTTCTTCCGTATCGCAGAGAGAGCGCGAGGAGATGGTGGCCCAGATGGTGTACAAGGACAGCAAGATCCTCGAACTGAACCAGAAGATGTTGGAACAGGATCAGATGGTTATGGACGTCCAGGAGACGGTTCGAGAGAAAGACGAGGTCATTCGGGGACGGGACAAGGCCATCCAGGTACCAGATGTCTGGGCTATATACGGTTATTGTAGTGAATTGTTAAAGAAGTTATTAATTATACAGTAAAGAATCATTAACCCCATTCCCACAGATTTTAGATCGATCTATCCCTGTGGGAGTCTTACAAGATTACTGTCAGCTGAGCTGGCTTAAGCGTTTGTCCCGCCTACTAAAAGCTGTAAGGGGGTAATTAACTACCATGTGCGTTCGTCTGACAGGAATTTAGCGTGAACCCCCAGGGAGTTAGGTCAAACTAGAAGGATTGATCCAATTTTATGGGAATGCAGTCACTGATGGTAAAGTTAAGTGTATTGACCTGGAGTTCAGAAGGTGACATAGATCTGAGAGAAAAATTTAAAGTAGATGCATTTTTGGCTCTTTTTCTTATGTCACATAAAACCATTGTTTATATTCAGACATATTTAGCCTACACATTGAAGTGTTGAAAGACCTTGTTTGCTTTGCTATACAGTCTATAGTAGAATATGTCTTATTCCGTAGAAAAATAGTATGAGTGAGTCTGATGTGTCAATTCCCCTGATTTCAGCTTATCCAAGAAAACGTTGCCATAAAAGACAAAGACATTCAAGAACTGAACAACTTGGTTTCCAAGCTGACCAGGAAAGTGGAGACCTATGAAGAGCAGGTAGGCTTTCTCAAGGAACAGGTCCAGGGAACTGATGTCGAAAGTTTTGATGCCAAACTCAGAGAAACCCAGAAGTATTTTGAGGATCACTTGGAGGAGAAAGACAAGGAAATTGCCGCCTTAAAAGAAAAGTTTGAACTTCAACTTCGAGAATCACAGAAGCATTTCGAGGACACTTTGAAGGAGAGGGAGGAAGAAATTTCTCAGCTCCGAGAGAGTGTTAATGACAAAGAGACGGAGGTTTCTGCTCGTGACGAAGACATCAGAGCCTTGATTTCTAGACATGAGGAAGAAAGTATAAAACTGACCACCAAGGGAGAGGTGGACGTTCAGGACCAGGTCCTTAAAATGATGGAGCAGCAGCTGCATGACACTAATGAAATGTTAACAGCCAAGTCTAAAGCCTTAGAAGTTGCACAGATGGAAATGGCAGAAGTTGACAAAAAAGAGAAGGCTCACAACTCTAAAGTAAAGGCCCTCCAGGAGAAGCTGGACATGACCACGGAGCAGATGAGACTGATGCAGGAAAATTTTGTTGCCATGGAAACAAAGTGGCAGTCTGAAAAATCCAACATGGAAGCAGATCTGAGTGAAGTTAAAGAGAAACACGAGACAGAATTAGCTGAGAAAGACAGTCAGTTAGAAAAGCTTCGGAGTGAGTTAGAAAGGACTAAAAATGACGCCAGCTCAGGACAGACAGAGAAGGAGGGACTGGTGGAAACTTTGAAAAGTCAGTTGGCAGAGAAGGAATCTGAGCTACAAGAACTGGGAAATCAACTGGCAATGGTTCAGGAAGAAGTGGAAGAACTGAAACAGGTAATGTTTTGTTTTCCAAACAGCATTGAACATTTTCTTTTGCGACATGAAATATGGTAAAATATTGAAATTTATTTAATAAAAGAGAATTTATGAAGAACAAGATACCTAGTAATAAATAAAGGTATCCATCTATAGAAATTTCAAGCCTGTGTTATGAACTGTGTTATCGTACATTTCTAATATAATAGCTACTTTATGATGTTGGTCAAAGAGTTCCTTAGGAGCAGTTGACCACAACAAATGTTGTAGACATGTCTAACTGGCCATGGGCTCTCGTCACCACTGAGTGTAAATCATGGTCAGGATGTGCACAGTTTGCTTTTGCGGCTAAGTTGTAATTGAAAAGAAGTGTCAAAATTTGTAAAACTGCTAAAATTCTAAGCAGTCTTTGCTAAGACAGATTCCTGTTGTTTAAAGGTTTTGTGTTTCACAGTCTATTTCTATTTGTTATTTGTTATCCAGCGTAACGACTTGGCGGAGGACCTGGAGAGGCTCCAGCAGCAGATTGCTGAAGTAGAAGAGGAGAAAGGTAACCTACAGCTGCGGCTGGTTGACTACGAAGAAAGCAAAGCTAGTCAAGGTGAAGGTCAAAGCATGGCTCCATACGCCTGGGAAAACCTGCTTCATTTATCATGCTACATTATATAAGTTGAATAGATCCATTAAGGGAGGGGGGTTATGAATGACTGTTGTTCTTTTCCTTTGAAGTTAATTTTTGTAAAAAATACCTTATGAGTAAACCATGTTGTTTTTTTTTTAGAGATTTTTCTATGATGATGCTCATTTCCTAGTTTTTATTAGTTGTTAGAATTTTCCCATTGGTCTTTTCCACATGGACCAGTACACTAAACTAAACTTTGAGATTGAGAACTTTACCTTAGAGAGTCACTTATATGAAGCCCCCTTGTTCTGCAATTAAACTAACTAAACAGCAGCAAGTGAGGTTGTGGAGTAAAAATCCAAGTGAATTGCATGTTAAGGCCTCTCAAAGTAGACTGATCCAGTAAGTTCCCTATTTTTTCAGTGACGTGCATACATTAGAGATCAGTAACTCATTTCTTGACTTCTAATTGGAGAATCTGACCTAATAGTAAATGTGTGTCTAACAGGCATACGTGCTCACAAACACATGCACACAAATGCACATACGCACATACATACGTTCACAATAACAATTTGCTGCCCGTTGAAATTCATAAAGATATTAAAGGTTTGTTTTGAGGAGTAAAATTTGGGGAATGGTATAAACATGTCAAATTTATATAAAATAAGGTTATTGAGCACAAGCTAGAATTTTCTCACTGCTATATAATAAGTTTTATATAAAAAATCATCTAAGATACTTAAAGGAGTTGAAGAACAGTGATGGATGCAATGTTTATACTGCCAACTTGAATAAAACTTGAATAAAACATGCATGTATTTCTGACTTAGGGATACGAGGGTTAAAAAGATAAAAGGACTGAATGTAATGATTACTAAGTTTTCTATTTTTCCTTCAAGCCTAAGCATGTTTTTTATGAAGGTCTATTTCTAGGTATCTTGGGTTAAATTTCTCAGTGTTAAGGTGTAACCAGATCTTCCTTTTCTCTTCAAAGGTGTCAGGGTTAAGATGTCTCACTCTTCAGGTGTTACGAAGGAATATTACCCCAGGCAAATGGTTCATGCTATGACCATCACCAATGCAAGCAGAGCTTACAGCTAGCTTTTACGCTTTTTTCAGCTGAATGTATGCTTTTGAACTAGAAGTGGTGGCAATTTTGCTTGGGTTATCTGCTTCTGTAGCTTTCCTGCTTCTCTGTCAGAATCATCATATCTTCTCTCAGGGAGTATTTTCTTCTGTCTTTATTAACCTAACAGAGTTGATAGATTTAATGTAATCTTTTCTTTGTAATAGTTGTATGATACAGTTGTCCTCATTTTTCTTCTTGAAACTCACACAACTAATAGCAGTATTAGAAGCAGACCATTTACAGGAACATTATGGTACAATGCAGTGTGGCACCTCACTGTTTTACAATTTTCACTTGCTCTCATCGCTGTAATTTCTGTTAGTGCTGAATTCCCCAAAGATCACGTGTTTATTGCTTCTGCTTTATTGATTTGAAGACATTGTCCTACGTATTGTTAAGTGATGTAGATAATATGATATAGATATAATATATACGGTAATGTGCCAAGCATTTCGACGGGCCCAGTCAATCCGACCAAAAAAATTATATTATAAAATTAATTTTTCTGGGCTCAAACATTTAGTCCATACGTCAAAATCATGCGACAGAATTTTTTTCTTGTTCCGATTGTTCGACCACATCGTCGGCAAGACTCGGTAAATTTTCAAGCCAGTGAAATAGATGCTGCATGTCTCGGTCCTTTGTCAATTGTTGTCCTTTCAATGGCTTTTGTCAATGAGGAAGAAACAATTAACTGAAGATCTAATCTGGAAGCGAGACGTACCTGTTACATTTCCTTTGTCCCCGATGACAATAATAGTGCTTATAGACATACAATTTGTGCTAATTTAGCAGACTTGCCCTCGCTGACTGATTCGTCACGCCCTTAACTGGGGGGGGGGGGGGTCTGTTCTGGATTAAACCAAATGTCGACAGTGGGTAGGATATGTAGTAAACATCTTCATATAGACCATACATAGCGTATGCTAGCAATAAAAATTTTGGGAAGAATAAGCTATTTGTTTTCAAGTTTGATTGAAATATATATATATGCAGGGGAAACGTTCTTGAATTCAATGCCGCGAGATCCTACATTTACTACAGTCGACTGGAAGATCAGTGAGATTGACCGCCTAGACTTCTTGGCGCCAAATACCATGCGCTGTCAAAATCCCACTTGTGAAGCGCGTCATGAAAGTGATCGTCGGTGAGGGAAATAAATAGATAGAAATTATGAACTGTCGTCTGTTTGAATCTCAAGTTATGTTAGCACATATTGTACACAGCAAAATAAAATTTCAAAAGGAGGATAAAACGTGCTTGAAACACATGTTAGGTGAAAATTGCGGCTTATCTTGCGTTACACTTCCGGTAAAATGCAATACTTCCGGTAAGATGGACGTTTAGGCAGATGCCCCTAACAATCCGACGATATCAAAGATTTCCATTGCTACATTTTAATCAATTCGACCAAACTGACATTTCCATAAAATTAATTAATTGATCTTGGTCGAATTGTTTGGCATATTACCGTATTGTATCACCAAGCTTTGAGATTGGATAATGAAAAAGTTGCACTTTCAACATGATGCTGGTATGGTTCTTACCAGTGTGTAATTACTAATGTGTAATTTAGTACGGTAGTTATTGAAAAATTTCAAACTCCTCAATTATTCTAACCCTTTACTTTTAAAGAATTGTCATTTTAGACACTTTCGAAAATGTACCTTTAGACAATGAACCCTCAAATTTGTCAAAACCTTTAAAGAACATTTATCAAATATTGCAAACAAAATATTTTTGTGATATAAATTATTATGTTCATATTTGTTGAGTCATTACAGTGTGTTCATTTCTAATATATTTGAAATAATTATAAAACACCTGCCAGCATTACTTTCACATTCCATTAACTGACAGTAATTAGTGGCTGCACAACCTGTACACACTATATTTTATTCAAGAGGTGTGGACGTTACTTATATGTAGAGTTAGAGATGGATTTCATTTTGTGAGTTGTGGAAGTACATAGCTTGAATTACAATGGAAGCAAATAATGCATACAGTTTTGATTATTTATATAATGCATATATTGCCTTGAAAAATGATTTATTGTTTGAATATATAATGCCATTTTCACCAAACTGTCTGTCTTTACGTTTTGTGCTAGATTCTTGTTTTTATATAACACCAGATTTTTAATTATTATTGAAAGTTTGGATAAAAATGCTGGATGGTATTCTTACCATATTCCATTGCAAAAGAACTTCAGAAAAAGACTGTAGAGTTGGAGCAAGAGCTGTCGTCTGTCACAGCTGGCAAGCAAGAAGTGGAGAATCAGCTTATCTTGGTGGATGAGGAGAGAGCAAGCCTACAGCAGACGGTAGCTGATCTGACAGAGAAACTAGAGCAGGTATGACAGAGCTTGGAGCTTGTTGGTGAATAATCAGGATTCAGTTTCCCACATTTATTTTTAAGAAAATTTAAGATACGTGAACAGATATTCAGTTATGTTTCTTTTCAAGGGAGAAAAAGTCTGATAAATTGAACTGAATTACCGATGGGGACAAAATTAAAATAACTTACATTTTATTTTTACAGGATCAAAAGACCTTTGATGAAGCTAGAGAAGAACTGGTGAAAAAGCTACAAACAGAACTGTCAGATACCAAGGCATCCCTGGTGCTGATGGAGGAAGAGAGCACGCAGGATAAACAGAGGATATCCAGTCTGGAGACCAAGGTGGATGAGTTTGAAGCCATGAAGGAACATACACAGGCTGATATGGTGAGCACTTCAGATTTGGTAGAGGAACATTACACACCATTTGACCACCAGTTTTATTTGATCCTCTACTTAAAACTATCTCTTATCATAATAATAGTAATTATATATAAGAAAATATATGACAAATAAATAATTAAAAAAAGATTGTGCCTCAGCTGTTAAATATTGCTAGTATTTAGATGATTTTAACACTCCAGTTATATCACATTTTATAGAATATTGCTACAGGAGAGTAAATTTGCTGGTATTTTCCCCTTTTTAGCTTGCCATGACTGAAAAGCTGACTGATTTGACACAAAGGTTGCATGATGCTGAACAGGTCCAGAAAACTCTGCAAGATGAGAAAGTTGCCTCTGAGTTAAAGATGACAGAACTTGAAGAACAGAGAGAGAGTAATTGGAACTTTTATGCAAAAAATTATTCAATATTCATGTCATTCTGTTATTATATTGATGTGGCATATATATCTAAAATGGTGAATTTACTGATTGTTGTTTTTTCCAATACTTCAACAATCACTGCTAGATAGGAATGTGGGAAGATGTATTATATTACAGTTTAAAATATGACAACTTGTAGTGAATGTAGTGAAAAAAAAACCTCACCACATCATACAGGTTAACAATTGGTGTAGATAATATGCCTGTTTAAATGTTGGCTCTCCAGGTCTGGAGGCAGACAAGCAGAGTTTAGAGGCGGCTGTGGTTCAGCTTAAAGAACAGATAGAGCTGGAGAAACAACCAGTGATTGCTTACGAGAAGGAAAATGAAGCCCTGCAGTCAAAGGTAGTGCCATGGGGCTGATGGTCTTGGGTCATTGTTGAAGTTATAAACTAACATTGACTGTTAGCGGAGTTATTTCTTTATTTTTTTTTTGATTGAACAAATTGATTCAAGTTATGTATTCAGATGCTCGCAATTATGAACTTGCTGATTTGAATGCAACTCAGTATTTAGAATTTATCACTAAATTTTGGCAAATACTAAAAAACAAAATACGGAAATGAATAAATTTTGTTTAGATATGGTTAGCAATACTAAGAGAAAATATACTTTTTTCTGTGCATTACATTAGAAGGATTAATGCTAAAGATCGCTGAGTCTTATGTCTATGGAAATTCTTTATATTAAAAAAATCTGGAGTTCTTGATTTTTCCACCCAAAGCTTGAAGACCTACAGTCTCAGTTTGATATGGAAGTCTCCAACAACAAGGAGCTGAAGGATGAAATCAACCGCATTCTGCAGCAGCTAAATGAGACCGAGAATGCCAAGGCTCAGCTGGAGGCGGAATCTGCCAGCAAAGAACGGGAACTTGAAAGTTTCAAGGTATGTGGGGTTTGCTTTAAGTTTGAACTTTTTATTAAAGATGCAGCCATGAATGTTTCAGTAAGCATGCAGTTTGCGTATGGGTTTTCACACTTGTTGTTTGTTTACATTTACTTGCATGATCAGAATTTATCTGAATGGGTGCCACCAAGTCTAGTTACGTGAAATAGATTTTTTTTTTTAATTTGAAATTTTTCACATTCCGTTCAAAAAAGCTCCACTTTACTTCAGCAGAGTATTCAGTTTTGTTAACCTTTACTGACTGAATACAGTCTTGTATTATCATAACCATTTTGCATATTGGCTGGCATTATTGAAAGTCATTATCTGTAATAACTGAATAAACTAAATGTCTAAAATAGTTGGGCATACGTCATGGCCATAAAGAAAGCAAAATTTTTCAAGCAACCAAGTGAATTTCCCATAGCATATGTATTTTCGTAACTCTTGGGCTAAATAATAACATATTAGTAAAATAGTGCACATGTTATGTTTTTATGTACAGACACAGATGTGTCTGTACATATTGCCATCATCTGCGTCTGTCGTCGCCGTCGCCGTCGCCGTCGCCG